ATCCTTGGTTACAGAAACCAAGAGGCATTTGAACCTAGTCAAGCCCAAAACTCTCCAATGACATTTTAACCCTGTAAAGGCAATCATTCCTCTCAAGCCAAATATTCCATAAGGTAGCAAATAAAAGTTCATTTCTCTAGACAATCTCTCATCAAACCTCTAATTTCTTAAATCTTTTATCAACTTATTATCCATAATAGTAAATCTTTTCATATATAAAAAATTTATTAACATTTTGTTCCAGTTTCTTATTAAAAAAAATATGTGCCTCACAACTAAAGCTCACTGTTTTTCTTTACTTAGCGCTTAAGCCCTAGACAAGAGTGACAGAAAATCAAGAATACAAATTATATCAACCTATAATAACTCATCAAACACTACCATTTGTAACTTTTTAAAACAGAAAGGCCAAAGTTTCATGCTAAGGACGCTGTGCGAAAAGACAGGAGCATACTTCCGTAGGAGCTTCATATTGTTGACTATCAATAGATTCATTTGAGCTTCTATGCATACTTTCTTGGGGTTTAAGCATCCAATCCAACCCCATTTCTTTTCTAACAATTTCCTTGTCACCTTTGGAAGAAGTTTCTTTGATGTCATCTAAAAATTCAAAGAAATTTTGAAATCCCCGAAATGTTCTAAAATATGAAACATGACAATGAAAGAGAATGAGATACATATCGAACATTTTCTCACCAAGGATGCAATTTCGACTCTTTCTTTTCCTCGCCCGTCTTCTTTCACCTTTTCTACTCTCTTTTGGTTGCTTTTCAATGCTGCCACTATCTGTTGAGGATGTTGAATAATCCTTTGACGAGTCCCGTTTCTTCCTCCCAAACTTCTTATTTTTTGTATTTTGATACTCGTCATCGTCATCGTCATCATCTGAACTACTGTAACAAGTCATCTTTCTCTTACTTTTTTGTTTCTCATTACCCTGTTTGGAAGAGATAAAACCATAAAACAAACACCTTGAGTGGCATACTAAATAATTGTACGACAAAATTACATTAACCAAGAGAAGACCTTAATGTAGCATAAGCAAACTTAAAGATTAACAACCAAGTTTAATGGTTCTTACTTCGTTCACTTTTTCACGAGGAATAAATTTGACTCCAGAAAGCATTTCCCAACCTATTCCAAGAAAAATAAATAATGTAAATTACTCATAAAATGCTTCAAAACCAACCACAAAGTTAAACATATAAATGTTCTTCACATAAACACAAATGATTTAGCCTAACCATTTGATCAAGTACTAAATTCATATCAAACTTCAAGTTCAAATAGAAATGTCACTTTTTTAAAGACGGAAAAAGAAAAAATCTTACATTAACAAAAGACGACGAATACCAAAAGGGGAGATGAGATATCCCCATGAACCAATGGGTTACAAAAACGAATCCCAATTGGTATGTATATGCAACTATTAAATAACCATTAAACCCAAAAGCTTAAGTGGTTATGCAATGTTTCAAAAGGCGAACGAGGCGTGTGCCTTGAGGAGAGGTGGAAAAAAAAGGCCTCGATACCTATGCCTTATATAAATAAAAAGAGGAGGCGTAAGCCTCTATTCATACGCCTTAAAAGGCTTGACAGGCATAAGCCTTTTATTTTGACCGGATGAATTTTATTTTGACTGGGCTTTGTGGTGATGGGATTTTAATAGCATCCTCGATCACCGTAAAAGACTAAAACTGAAAAGGCTTATTTGCCTTGGAATCTCAAAGATCTAGGAAGATTTTAATATAATATTATCATTACCATTTCGAAAAGAAAAGTCGCAGAAGATTTGAAAAGGAATTGGAAAAAAAACAAATAAAACCCATCCAAAGAAGCACAGACAGTAGAAGCAATTCAGAATTTCAACTTTCAAGCGGTGATAGGAATCAAGCGGTGGTGGTGGGGCTACAGCAGAAAAGTATGACTTTTTCTTTATTCTCTCTTTTTTCCTCTCCATGTTCACGTTTCTGTTAACTTTTTTTTTTTATCTTTTATAACTTGATTTGGTTGCCAGTTTCAACTTTCAAATTTGTTCTTTCCTTCTTTTTTTTCTTTCGTTTAACTATCCTTTTTATTTTTACTTTTTAAGTTTTCTTTTATTTATCAATCCTATTTTAGTGCTATTTTAACTTTGTTTACTTCAGTTCTGTTTTTTTTCTCTCCTTTATCTATGTTTTCATTTTTGTTTTATTTTATTTGATCTTTTCTTTTGTTTATTTGTTACTTACTACCGTTTTGAATTCTTTTTCAATTTTTTTCTTTTGTTTATTTCTTTTTCTTTTCGGTTTTTTTATTCTGTTTTTTTTTCCTTTTTCTATTTTCCTAATACTTTCCTCGTTCTTGTTATTTAGATGGTTGGAAATATTAAAAAAACAAATAAAGGGGCTAGAAAAGATCCAGCATGGAAGTATGGTATCGAGGTGCAATAGGAAAATTCTATGTTTATCTGAAATGCAATTTTTGTAACAAAGTTATTAAAGGAGGTGTTAAAAGAATGAAAGATCATCTTGGAGGAACACATAAAAATGTTCACCATGTAATAAAGTTCCTGACGAGGCTAAACAAGAGATTCAAGATTATCTCAAAAAAGGAGAAATGACTAAGATGACTAGTCAGAAGGAATTTGAAGAAATGGTCGAAGGAGGTGCATATTATCATAGTGCAACTTCAAGTAGTTGTGATATTTCTTAGAGAGGAATTCGAGGACCAATGGATCGATTCATGGTGATTGATGTTGGTGACGTTGATGCCGATGGTGGAAATAAGGTTCAAAATCAAGTCACTCCTACAAATGCGAAGGAGGCTCGTAATTCTATGTGTATGGACATTGGGAGGTTTTTTTTTTAAACGGTATTTCATTTAACGTGGCTAGAAGTCCTTTTGTAAATATGTGTCGATCCATTGGTTTTTTTGGTCGAGGTTTGAAACCACCAAGTATGCATGAACTAAGTTCATGGATTTTGAAAGAGGAGATGAAGACTACACGTAATATTGTGAATAACATACACAAGACATGGGTAAACACTAGAGTGTCGATCTTATCTGATGGTTGGAAGAATATGAGAGGAAGAAGTTTGATTAACTTGGAACGGTATTTTTGAAATCTATTGACGCTGCAGATGCTGTAAAGGATGCAAATATGTTATTTCAGCTTCTGGATGACGTAGTAGATGAAATTGGAGAGAATCTTATAGTTCAAGTTGTGACCGACAATGCATCAAACTACAAGTCGGCAAAAAAAAAGTTGATGGAAAAACGAAAGCATTTGCATTGGACTCCATGTGCTGCCCATTGTCTCAATTTGATGCTTGAGAAGCTTGGTGAACTGCCTCAACATAAGAATGCCTTGATAAAAGCAAAAAAAGTAAGCAACTTTATCTATAATCATGGATGGTGTTAGCATTGATGAGATCTTTTGCGAAGAGAGGGCTTGTTCGTCCCGCCACCACCAGATTTGCTACTGCTTATTTGACATTGCAAAGCATTTGCCAATCTAAACAACCATTACAAGCAATGTTTACCTCTAAGCAATGGCAGGATAGTGTGTGGGCAAAAAAGCCAGAAGGGAAGGAAGTTAAGAGAATAATTTTAAGTGACAAACATTTTTTTCCGGCTGTGGTATATGCAATTAAGACAACTAAACCTTTAGTGGGAGTTTTGAGAATGGTTGATTCTGAAAAGGGTACCTGCAATGGGATTTATATATGGTGCTATAGATTCAGCAAAGGAGGAGATTGCCAAAAATCTTGGAGGGGAGGAAGCAAGCTATAAAGAGATATGGAACATTATTGATGAAAAGTGGGAATTTCAACTTCACCGACATTTTCATGCCGCAGCATATTTCTTGAATCCACATTTCCAATATGATGATAATTTTTCCACTCATCCGGAGATCAAGTTGAATTTATATACATGTATGGACAACATAATTGTCGATGAAGCTGAAAGAGTAAAAGCTGATCTTCAGATTGATTCATTTCGAAGGAGGGAAGGATTTTTTGGCTTCCAACAGGCAAATAGCATCTTGCAAAAAGCGATCTCCAGGTAAGCATTGTGATGATGAAATATAACCTATTATTTTTTTAGTTTTGGTTTCCTAACTTGATATGATATTCGACAATGTAGCTGATTGGTGAACTCAATTTGGTGATGGCACACCAGAACTAGCTAAATTTGCCATCAAAGTTTTGAGTCTTACTTGTTCAACATCTGGTTGCGAGCGTAATTGAAGTACAGTTAATCAGGTTTATAGAAAATTTTCCTTTTTAACTTGCAATCAATTGTTTAAGACTTTGGTTCTAAATTTAGTGATAAATTATGTCTCACATTGATAGGTGCATACAAAGAGAAGGAATTGTTTGAGTACAACTAAGTTAAATAACTTAGTTTATATCATGTACAATAAAAGATTAAAGGATAAGCACTTGAAGCTAAAGGCTCTCAAAGAGGGAGAAGATCTATTGGTACTAGATGATTTGGTGTCTGATGATGAGTGGATTGTTGAGAACACTAGGGATAGTGAATTTGGAGTTGATGCCTTTATTGAGCATGATGATGATCCTAACATCAATATTTTTAAGCTTGGAGAAGGAAGTAGTACTCAACAGACGTTAGTGATAAGACAAAACAACCAAAATCTAGAAGGGATGTGACTTATGGGAAATTATTTTAATTTTAAATTTTAATGTTTTAACTTATAAATTACATATATTAACTTAGGTTCTAACTTTTAAATTTACAAAATTTATTTCGTAAACAGATAAAGGGAAGATGCCGATGACATTGGTTGAAGAGGAATGGGTGGATATTGAAAATGACAATGAAAATGAGGATGGAGCAATTAGATATGACGATGACTCTATGGAAGATCCTATTAGTGATAATGATAATGATGTCGTGGACGAGCTTTAGATTTTTATCTCAAGAAAGTTGGATATACTATCAAGATTTTTCTTTTTGTCATTATTATGTGTGTTTTATGCTTTTATAGGAACATTATAATATTAGGAATACAAAATTTAATGTTTTATCTTTTATGAATTTTATTCTTTTTATCTTTCCATTTGAAATGAGGCTTATGCCTCATACCGCCTCAAGCCTTTTAAAACCTTGTGGTTATGACAAATTTAATCATTTATCAATACTTTTAACATTATGATGTAGGACATCAGAATTTAATAGGATCTTTCTAGCCGTTAGAAGGTTGTTAGTTGGTCAGCTTGGCTGGAGGTTGTTAGTAGTTAGTATTTTAGTTACTGTTTAGTATTCTAGTATAAATACTTGAACTTTTGTTAAAGAGGGCAGTTATTATTTTAATAAAAGGTTTCTTCCATTTGATTCATCAAATTGGTATCAGAGCTCCTCGTGAAAGAAAGACGCCTCGGGTTTCAACACAGTTCAGCCCGGCATTGATCCGGAAGCATCCCATTCTCCACAATCTTTTGATCAATGCTTGCAGTCAGTGGAGTTATCAGTAGAAGAAATTAAGAATGGCGTGACCGAAATGCAACAAAGTTGGGAAATGTGACCAGACAACATGAGAGGTTGACTTTACACTAATAAGAACCTCATAACCATGAGGAACCTAAAATTGCAGGAAATAATAATGGTCATTTTGTCCAAGAAGGAAGAATTCAACCAGCAAGAAGATATGGTCAATTATATGCAAACCCTGTTTTTCAAGAAAGGTGCAAGAACACCCTCATGAAAAAGCGTTTGAACAAGACTCTAATTCGCAACCACGGAGACAGCAACAAATGAGAGACAATTCAGATTATAGAAATGAAGATCAATCTTCCAAGCTTCACTGGCAAAATGGATGTAGAAGCCTTTCTTGATTGGATCAAGAAAGTAAAATACTTTTTGATTTTATGACTACACTGGAAGAGAAAAAGGTCAAACTTGTGGCGTTCAGACTCAGGAGTGGCGCCTCAGCTTGGTGGGACCAACTGCAAACAAATAGGTGGCGTTATGAAAAGCCCCCCCGTTCGATCTTGGCCAAAGATGCAAAGGCTAATGAGGAAACGGTTCTTGCCAATGAACTATCAATACTTCTTTACCATAAATATCAACATTGTATGCAAGAGGGAAGAACTATAGCCGACTACATGGAAGAGTTTCTTAGACTAGGT